GAGAGTAGAAAAAGGGAAGGGGGAAATTATTAACTTTCTTTATATATCTCTGCACTAATAGTGAACATGTATTATATTCACTTGAAAATATTAAAAAAAAAAAAACACTCTCATATTATTTTCAACATTATTTCTACATTTACCAATATTACGGTGAACATCATATGAAGCCAATCAGATGACTGACTTCAAACAGAAAAACAGAATATTTTCATTTGTTGTAGTTTAGCTCCTATGTTTGTTTATGCACAATACCTAATCCTTTCACAACTATTACACAACTATTTTATTCTACTTTTTAGAACAAAAAATGTTACTATAACTGACTGTATAACTGACTTAAGCCATAACGGGGAAAAAATGCAACCCCTTAAATATTCTGGGCGACTTAAATCTCTATCCTTATTGTTTAAATTAGTAAGATTTTTTTTTTTTCACATGCAAGACATTTCGCTAAAAACACCAAAGCCAAGATGGATTGCTTTTATGATTCTAATATAAAACTATTTATTGAGCATTTACTAAACACAAAACATTGTGCTAAACCTTAACAATATAGTAATGAACAAAAAAGACAACACTATCCCTGCCTTCATGGAACTCAAGAATAAAATGCATTTTGGTTTGCTTGCAGGCCTACTGAAGTGAAATGCTACTAGATTTTCAGTTAGGTGGGCACAAAACTTCTAAGTTAATCTAATAACCTAATCTAATCAAAATGAACACTCAATTTTCTTTCCTCAATTAGAAGTGCAACCACTGCATATAACCCACTCACTTCTGAAATATACTTCAAAAATAAGATTTTAAATATTTAATATCATACTTCTATAAAAATTAACATTGTGAGTGATAAGGAAAAAAATAACTGGATTCCTTAATAAAGAGAAAGACAAAATTTTCCAGCTAATTATGGTGCTGTGCGAGTAGGAAATAAAGTACTCCAATACCGCACACCTCTGTTCACAGAAAGAAAAGTAGTTAAAAAAAAAAAAAAACAACTCTACACTCACTACCAGAGTTAAAAGGATTAATAACTGAAAAATTTACTGATGAAATGATATGACATCCGAGATTTGCTTCAAGATAACCTAAAGAGGAGGGATCAGGTGTACAAAGATGAAGCAAAGTTGGGCATAGCTGACACGGCTGATGGGTATATATGAAGGAAGGCTCATTATAATGTTGTACCTTGTATGTTTAAAACTGTCTAGAATGAAAATTTTTTAGAAGTAAAGAATCTCTGGTAACTCTATTTGTAAATCATTGTCTGCAACCAAGCCTGGGATTTAATAAAAATGTTTCAAGCTTTCTTAAAAAATTGAAACATGTCTCACTGGTCACAGTTTGAACTTTTTTTTTTTTTTTTTTTTGCTTTAACAGAAAGTTTCCTCTAACAATACAGTATCTTACTAAGATTATGCTAAGATATTTAATATGATAAAATTCAGTTCTAAGAGCACTCCAAATTCTGCTGCATAGTATATAACAAAGGTAAAATTTAACATGAAATGCAGAGTGAAACTTTTAAAAATGTAGCCTTAATGCCAAAGAATGTAATGATTTAGTACTGAAAGTTTTTACATCTTTACAATAACTACTGTTTATTGAGTGGCACATGCCAGCTACTTTATAAGCAATTTCTATTCCTAAAAACTCATTTTACAAATAAGGAAACCACCTGAGAGAGGTAACTATATCTGTGGTCATACATCAGTTAAGTGAAGAGCTAGGATTAAGGCCCAGGTCTAACCTTCAAGCTCTTCAAAGCCATGCTCTTCTCATTCATTCAACAGATAGTAAGCAACCCACTACATGCCAGGCACTGTTATAGACACTGGGGTACTTATTATGCACCAAGTGATGACATAAGAGCTTTAACCATTTAATTTTTACAACAATTCTAAGACATAAGTCCAATTATCCCCAGTATACATAAAGACACTGAGTTTGAGAGGTTAAGGAACTTTCTTAAGGTCACTTAACTAGAAGTGGCAGTATCGGAGTGAAAACCCCAAACAACACAATTCCAAAACTCTTCACACTGCATTGCCTCAAGTGATGAGCAAGTAAAAGTGCCTAGGCAGAACTTTGAAGAAAAATCCTGGAAAAGCTAGAGGGCTGAGGGGAAGGAAACTGGATTTATTTGGCAAGGTCAAGGTTGTCCTCAATAACATCTTAATAAAAGTAAGTTGTGGGGTGGTAATGAAATTAACAATAAACGGCAAAAGTTTAAATCTAGACTCTGACACTGGCTTCGGGACCACCAGGAAAGCACTTGCCCTCTCACAACCCCAATTTTATAAAATGCAAATCCTGCCATCTCCCTCCTGGGGTTGTGACAATGAGGAATGACAGACAGTGTAGTGGATGACATGATGGACTTCAAGCTATAAAGTGATAATAAACTGTCATCCAATATGAGTATAGAAAAATGAGGATTAAACTGTAGCTGCATTTTAAATGGTCATGTTTCTTTTCACCTTAGCCTAACTTTAGGTCTAACACAGAAAACATAAGCCAAAGAGTGGGAAGAGGCCAGTTGTACGGACCATCAGTAACTAGCCATGTCGCAACTTCAAGCCTCAGTGGGGAAAACTCAACTTACCTTCAAGAACTACGTGAGGCTCAAACAAACGCCTGAAGACACCTAGAACCATGCCCGGCACGCAGTGGAGTGCAAACGCTCCAAACATGCTTGTTCCTTCCTCTTTTCGTAAATTCTAGAAATGCCCAAACTTTACTTTTTGATGCCATCCTGGGCTCATGGCTTTATAGGATGCCACAGGCCTTACAGGGACTCACCGAATAAGGATCTCTAAGTTATCCAATCTCTCAGACTCAGTATGAGCAAGTACAGCCCAAGACCCCTTCCCCAGATGAAGCCCCGAGACAGCCCACCCTCACCCACAAGAACACCCAAGCCAGTCCCAAGATGCCGGAGAGCGTGAGAGGTGCAGCCTTTTGTATTCAGGGGCCGATGAGGCCTAGAGGATGAGGAACCCCACGTCTTGGGCTCGTGGGCTGGAAGGCGGCGCAGCACGCGCGGATAAACACCGCGGGGGTGGTCTACAGCCGCAGAGACTAGCGGCAAAGAGAGGGGCCTGCAAGAGATGCGATGGTGCCCAGTCCGGACGAGGCGGCGGGGAAGGCGAGGCCGGAACACACCCTTCCCCCTCCCACGAAGGTCCCCTCTGGGGTGGGGAGGCAACGGAGGCTTTGGCAGCGGCGGCGCTGGGGACACCTTCCACCCCGACACCGGAGTCCCGTCAGGCCGCCCACCCCAGACCCCAGGCTCGCCGCGGCCTGACAGAGCCTGCACTGCCCGTCTGCAGTCCCGGCTCGCCGTCGTCCCCGCCCCCGGCCCTCGGAAGGGCCGGGCGCGGAGGCCCCAGGGACACCGGCACTGCAGAAGGCCTGGGTTACCTGGGGGGTTGCTGGTGGCTGGGCAGCTTTCCGGGCGGGAGGGGGGCGTCAGGACGAGGAACAGGAGTGCGGACGCAGAGAGAAAGGAGGCGGGGACGGTTGGCCGAGGCCCCAGGAGGTAGGCGGGCTGGCGGAAGAGATGTAGACGCGGTAGCGGCAGTAGCAGTGGCAGCGGCGACGACTCTTGCTGCTCCCTGAGGATCTTCCTCGGGCTGGTCCAAGATGGCGGCGCTCCCTGCACAGGGTTTCCTGTCACCCTCGCAATGGGCCGGACCACAAAAGAAGGGGGGAGGTGGGTGCGCGCGCAGCTGGCGGAGCCCGGAAGAAGGTACCAAAGGCCCGGCTTCCTAGCCACGCCCTTTCCTTCGTCCTGCTCTTTGGACTCGTCGCGTCTTTTCCGAGGTCCACCCCGCTGGCCCTCGTGTCTGAAGGAGCGGAGGAAAGCGCCTATACGCAAGCGCAGTGGCGTGTCCTCGCCTCCTAGGGAAGTTAATGCGCAAATTCGCGTAGAACCTGCTGAGGTCCGTCCGAATCTTGGAGAACTAAGCTTGTCACTGGGGACTTTTGACTTTTTAATGCCAGCAACTACCACTTCCTGGATGCTTACCGTATGCCGGCCACTGTGCTAAGCAAGCATTTGCTGCATTCATTCAATATGTATTTAATGATTGTTTCGTATATAGCGGTAAGCAAAGACGATTAGGTTCCAACCCGAAGAGGCACGTATCCCATTTTATCGATGGCGAAACTGAAGCTCAGATCAAATCACTTGTCCAGGATTACGCAGCTAGGAAGCGGCCCTTTCTGACCTGCGATTCGCCTTTGCAGCTTTCAGCTTTACTTGGGGCGGCCGGGGGTGAGAAGAGGGTGTTTGACAGGAGGAGGGAAGTAGTGACCACATTTTTCACAATTTATCCACCACCTCAGATTATCCAGTTAGTCGTTCAGTGGGTATCACCTTTCCAGAAGGTTTAGTGAAACTCGGTGGAGGCCCGTTATGATTTTTGTGAGCCATGGGCGTTTTTGTCTTCGTGGGCCCTTCCTCCATAAAAGCATACTTTATATTTAAAAATTATGTTGCTATAAAGATTACTGTATTAATAGCAAAACATTTTTTTACCTATAAGTTCATTTTTTGCTTTGATTTTAAAATAATTTAGAACATTTTTTGTGGACTCCTACAAATGTGAGGCCTAAGCACTGTGCCTACTGTGCCTAAAGAGTAAGTAAGCCCTGTCTCAGTCCCCTCAAAATGAAGTTTAAGACCTTTTGTAAGCTGCTTCTGCCAATGAAGCTTCGTTGGAAACGTGTATTGCAATTTCCAAATCCCTTATTTTCAGAAAAACCTGGGTATAAATGAATCCTTGGGACCTCTGGTAGCATAGTGCCTAAGGCACTTGACTGCTCACCAAAAGGCTGGCATTTCAAACCCACCAGCCACTCCTCTGAAGGAAGGTCAGGCAATCTACTTCTGTAGTGATACTGCCTCAGAAACCCAAGGAGGGGTCGCTATGAATCGGTTGGACTCAATGGCACATAACAACAACAACAACAACAAAATGAATCCCTGTTCTGTCACACTAATGGTAGGCCCTTGGCCATGTCACTTGGTTTCTCAGCCCCTCAGTTTCTTCTTCCACAAAATTAGGATTGTGATATCTATCTCATATGGTTCCTTTGGAAAATTAAATGACGTAATATATGCCAAATGAATATAATAATAGGAATGATTATTACAGTATATGTAAGGTAACGTTGAAATCCCTGCCTGCCTGCGAAGTCTATGCTTCCCTTCTCATATTCTTTAGTAAGTATAGCCTGTTTGTTTGGGTCACATTTTAACATTTCTGAAAATTAAGAAATACGCCTGTGCTAAATAGAAAAGTATGCTGTGAGCCAGTTATCATTAAGTTGTCCAGGTATGAGCTTAGACCTGACTAGAAAGTTTCTATATATCCACTTGTGATCTGAGTTGAGACCTTTTTGTATTGCTAACAACAACAATGGTTAGTGACCACATTATGTGCCAGGAACTGTAAGATGCTGCTGAGGCTACAAGGTAGAATCATGCATATTATTTCATTCCTACAATACTGCTGTGAAGTCAGTACTATATTCGCATCCTTTTATGAATGAAATAACAGTCTCACAGAGGTGAGAATTGGCAGTGCTGGAACTTGAACCCAAACACATCTGACTTCAGAGTCCCTGTTCCTTGTTACTATCCTATACTACTCTACACGGTTCTATACTTGCCCCCTTTTGTCCACAGCCAGTTTAAATGTGGATCCCTAATTATTGCTTATGTATGTGTCATATACATATTTACATATTTTGATGCACTGAAGAAAAAAGTTGTGATTGCAGATTGCTAAGCAATGCAGTTAGTGACAGTAGACATGATCAATTCTTGTAATAAGTTATTGGGAGAAAGTCCTGGCAATCCACTTCCAAAAGTCATTGCCGCTGAAGACCCTCTAGAGCACACTTCTACTCTGAAACAGATGGCGTCACCAGGGGTCAGAATCAACTGGATGGCAACCAGTTTGATTTTTTTTGTAATAAATCCTAGAATTTTCAAAATTAGGAGAGACTTGTGATCAATTGCATCACGATTAAGAAGGACTATTCATTGCCAAGTATCTGAAGGTTTCTAGTTAACTGTTTTTAAAAAGCTGTTTATATGAGCAGAGATGGATAATAGGAATATGAATTGCAGCAGTATGTAATAGTAAAAGACTTGTGGTGGTAGTGGTGGTGGTGGTTTTGTGCCGTCGAGTCGGACCCAACTCATAGTGACCCTTCCTTGGGTTTCCGAGGAGGTATCACTACAGAAGTAGATTGCCCAACCTTCCTTCTGAGGAGTGGCTGGTGGGTTTGAACCTCCAGCCTTCTGGTTAGCAATCAAATGCCTTACGTAGTACACCACCACAGACAAACTAAGTATCACTACAGAGCTAAGTCAGCTGTAGTGCATCCATATTGTAGAATACCATGTAGCAGTTAAAAAGAATGAGGCACCTGGGTATGTCCTACTATATATGGAACAATCTCTAAGCAATATTTTAAGTTAAGAAACATTTATCTGAAAAACACCACAGTGGAGACTGATTTATTGTCTCTTACTTTTCCTTTGGTGATGGATCTGATGGTTGTTTCTTTGGTTGACTACCAGATGAAATGGGTGGCTTAGATTTAAAGGTCATGTTATATGCACAAAATAGGCATCTTTGAACTTTAGAATCACACTCTGTGAGGCAAAATGACCACATCATGAAAACCACAAGGAAACCGATACCTACTAAGAACAGATGGAACTTTCATCTCACACTTTCTCCAAGATATGTTCTCGTTTAGAAAAAGGAAGGGCAGATTGAGTATTTAAATTATGTGTTTATTGCTTTGTTTGACCCTATGCATGTAGTGGAAATCATGTAAGTTAAAAGCATATGTGATGTGATACGATTTACTAAACTGATGGTGACACTCACTAAGAAACAACTGTAAGAGGTACTGTCAAGAACTGACATTATGCCATCCTTGCAATCTAACAAGTAAACCTGCTACAGTTGCATGGATACAGCAGAAGATAAGAGACTCCTGGGTCAGAGAAATGGGTGTTTATTATTCACAGCACAGCAGTCGATATGAGCATCAGCATATTTGTTTCAGTTTCCCTTTCTCCTAGATCCATGGGAGTGATGTGAATGAGTCCAGATGGATGTCTGCACTCAGTTGTGTTGTGGTACAGGAGAAGAAACTGTGAGCTTAAGAAACTCAACTCTTATGATCTTACCCCGGTTCCCTAGAAAAGCAAAACCAGTAATGTTTATATATGTGTGTGTGTATATATATATATATATATATATATATATATGTAGAGAGAGATTTAGCTCAAGGAAATGAATGTCTCATACAGTTGTAGATAGAGGCTGGCAAGTTCCAAGTCCACCGGTCAGATGTCAGGCCAGAGGCTCACATAGCTGTAGGGGCTGAGGAACCCAAGATCAGCAGGTAAGACATCAGCTGCTGGCTCACAGGCTGAGAAGGCTGACGAATCCCAAGTCCTAAGAACCAGAGCTCAGGAATGATGAGCCAGATGCAGGATCCAGAGTAAGCGCAAAAGCCAGTGAGCTTTGCCGGGAAGTCTGTATATTGGATACAGGCCATACCCCCAAGGAAGTTCCCCTTATAACTGATTGATCACATAAGATCACCTCATGGAGGTGATTACAATATATCACAAAAAGAAGAATACTACGTCATTACT